CCAGCAGTGTATAAGGGCTTCTCTTCCTCTACGCTTTCATCAACATTTGTTATTTTTTATTATAGCTATCCTAGTAGGTGTGAAATGGCATCTCATTGTGATTTTTTTTTTTTTAAGTAGGCTTCACGCCCTGCATGGAGCCCAAGTGAGACTTGAACTCATGACCCTGAGATCAAGACCTGAGCTGAGATCAGGAGTTGGAAATTTAACCAACTGAGCCACCCAGGCACCCCAACATTGTGATTTTAATTTGTATTTCTTTTTTTTTAAGTTCTTTTTAATGTTTATTTATTTTTGAGAGAGAGAGGGGCAGAGTGAGAGATGGAGACAGAATCTGAAGCAGGCTCCAGGCTCTGAGCTGTCAGCACAGAGCCTGATGTGGGGCTCAAACCTATAAACCTTGAGATCATGACCTGAGCCAGTCAGATGCTTAACCAACTGAGCCACCCAGGTGCCTCTTTTGTATTTCCTTGATGGTTTATGATATTAATCCTCTATTCACGTGATTATTAGTCATTTGTTTATTTTGGGGGAGAAATTTCTATTTAAAACCTTTGCCCTTTTTAAAATTGGGTTGTATTTTTATTACTGAATTGTAGTTGTTTTTTGTATTCTCTATGTAAGTCCCTTGTCAGATATATGTTTATAAATATTTTTTTCCCCTGGATTGTCTTTTCACTTTCTTGATGGTATCCTTTGAAGCACAAGCATTTTTAATTTTGAAGAAGACCAATTTATTCTTTTGTTGCTTATGCATTTGTAATCATATCTAAGAAACAATTGCCTAATAAAAGAGCTCCCTTGATGTCCCAATAATTTTTTAAAATTATATTTCCCTGTATTTCTATTAACCAGGTCTCCCCATTAGAATATTGTATGGGTTATATGAGAACTATGAAGTCAGAATAACTGAATTTGAATATTGGTATTCCCACATGATAACTTTGTAACCATTGGAAAATGACTTTTTTTAGGAGTTAAAAATTTATTGAATACACTGCAAGGAAGCAGCAGGCAGGATAGCAAAGCAGAGACTATCGTCAACCTTTGTTTTTTTTTTAAGTTTACTTATTTTGTGGGAGGAGGGGTAGAGAAAGAAGGAGAGACCGAATCACAAGCAGGCTCAGCACTGTCAGGACAGAGCCCAGTGTGGGGCTTGATCGCATGAAATGTGAGATGATTACCTGAACCAAAATCAGAAGTCAGACACTTAACTGACTGAGTCACCCAGGCACCCCCAAAGGGAAGTGACTTCTTTAAGTCTCAGTTTCATCGTCTGAAAAATGGGAATATTACTTGGGTGCCTGGCTAGTTCAGTTCGTAGAGATTGTGATTCTTGATCTTGGCCCCACGTTGGGTAGAGAGCCTATTAAAAAAAATTTTTTTTAATGCGACTATTACCTCAAAGATTGTGTTGAGGGTTAAAATGGTTAGCATAGAGGGGTGCCTGGGTGGCTCGGTTGGTTGAGTGTTTGATTTTGGCGCAGGTCATGATCTCGTGGTTCGTGGGTTCAAGCCCTGCATAGGGCTCTCTGCTCTCAGTGCAAAGTCCGCTTTAGAGCCTCCTTTTTTCTTTCTCTGCGCTTCTCTCCCTGTCTCTTTCTCTCTCTCTCTCAAAAATAAACATTTGTAAAAAAAGAAAACTAAATGCTTAGCATAGAGCCTTGCACATAGAAAGCAATTGATAATTGGTAGCTATTAATACTAGAAATCTTCTTTAAGTATATTTTTTGCTTAAATAAAAATGTTTTACTTGGTAAGTGTCTTTCTTGACTTTGTAGCCACAGTAGTAACTTGCTCATGGTAGAAGTTTAATGAATATCTGTTAATTTAATTTGATACATAAAATATAGCAGCCATTACATTAAGTGTGCTGTGATGTATTTTTTAAATGTTTATTTATTTTGAGAGAGAGAGAGAGAGAGCAAGCACATGCAATCAGGGGAGGAGTAGAGAGAGAATCCGAAGCAGGCTCCGACCTGGGCTTAATCCCATGAACTGTGAGAACCTGAGCCAAAATCAAGAGTTGGAAACTTAACTGACTGAGCCACCCAGGCTCCCTGAGCTGTGATATATTTGAACTTACTAAGATACTAAGTAAAAAGAGAAAACTAAAAATAAGTACCACCCACTTCATTTGGGCGTGGGTTAGCCCTTGCAGAAAAGGAAGATAGCAAGATTATATTTCCAAAGACATTTCAAGGGGGAGCAGTGCTTAATATATAAAAAGCAAGGGACTAATTTAGAGAGAAAAACGGAAAAATAAATCCCTAAGTAGAAATTTGGTCAGTGGCATGAGACATTTTAGAAGAAATGTTAAAGGAGAAAAATTCTTATGTCAGGAGCAATAGACTGATTTGGCATGGCTGTTGCCTGAACAATTTGAGATTTGTTCTGAGACAAGAGTCCTTTGTCTAAAAGCATTCTCATATCACTTGGTGAGACTGTCATTAGTCCCCTCACCCTTATTAGACAGATGTATGATTAGAGTCCTCAGAACACTCCTCCCTGAGACCTTATGGTAGGGATTTTTGATCCAGAAATTTACTTGTATTTTTATTTGTTTATCTAATAATATAAGCAAAGTGGTTAGAGCATACCTCCACTTAACAGTTTCCCATCAGACCCTACTTCTATTTAATGATGTCCCTTCTTATACTCTACACTATATTCTTAGCCTCCTTTGAATAAATGAAACACATATTTAATTTACTGAACCCATACAAATGATCCAGTTTGTTGTCAGTAAATATTTGTAGAAGGTATGAAAGTATAGTTAGATGAAACATAAATGGTTACATAAATGAAATGGTCTTCCTTCTGCTTTCTCCTTACTCTAGTCTTTGTCCAAATTTCACCAAATTCTTCCAAATTGGTTCAAATGACAATTAGTGTATTTTTTTATGCAGATAATTTGAGGTTTTGGTATAAAAGCCATTTTTCCTTCTATATTACAAGCTCCTGGAAGTCTTGTTCTGTCTCTTGTCTTTATACCTTCTGTAGCATAATGCTTTACACAGAATTGGTATGTAAATATAAGTCTATTAAATGAATCATGTAGTTTCATGTATTTTTGATGGGAATTTTTGGTATAGAATATTTAAGATGTTAAAATTAACTATTAGATATTAACAACTTCTCTTTACAGCTTTTCTTGGTTGCTAAAAATTTATTGGTTGCTTCAATATACAACTCACTTTTCTACCACAGGCTTTTGTCCCTAAACATGGCAAGTTTTAAGCAGATCTCCCTTCTTCCTTATTTTTCTGTCCCTTTGTTCTGTTCCATTTCTCTCTTACAGCTCTATTTATCTTTTCATTATGACTCATTCTATTTTTTATCATTCCTGCCTCTTGCCCCTTCTTACAATTCTTAATGCTTTTGAGAACTTTGTTTCCATGTCACCTGCTCTTTCTATTTTTGTTCTTTCTGCTTGGCTTTCTCCTCCACTTGGCTTTCGCCTCCACTTGTCACCACCTTCTCCTTGTCCTCAAGATAAAGGGCCTGATTGGGTAGGAAGGAGCCTAGCTGGGACAGGGGTGGAGCCACCTGTTCAGTGCTTAGGGGCTCAGAACCTGAGAAGGATCGGGCTGGTTAAGCATAGCTGGGGCTGAAGTCCCTATGGCCTTCCGGCTGGTGACTAGCATTCTGGAGGACAATTGGGGTTTGGTAAGCTTAGAAGTTGTCCCTTTCTTTTTTTTTTTTGCTTCCCCTTTCTTCCTGCTTGTTTTGTATTTTTCATTCATAGTATCTCTTTACTATTAACTTTTTTCTTCCTCTTTTTTTTATTACTTACTATTCTATTTTTTCTCTGTGTAGCTGTCCATCAACTCTATTATCTATTTGCTTTTCCTATTACCCATTCTTTTCACATATCTGTCTTTCCTCTCTCAAAATTTAACCTTACCTACCTCTTCTCCATTTTATTCTTTCCCCTGTAGATTTTCCCATCCAGTTCTCTTTTCATTTAGTCATTCTATCGACCTCTTTATTCTTTTTATCTTACTGTTTTCCAGAGGTGGTGCAATAAGAGAGGAAATGAGGAGCCACCTGCCTTTCCAGAGCCTTTCTACTCATTCTCAGACCTGTAGGGTATTTTGATTAGGCACTGAAGAGTTTGCTCTGCACAGATACTTAATAAACAGTGAAATTGGAGTGAGGTTGAATATTAAATGTAAAAGGCTTAATTTTATTCTCACTTTGTTTTTATTTAGGTTTTTTCTGCAGTACAGTGGATACAATTTGTTATGGGTATTCTGAGGTAGGTTTATTTAATCTCATGTACTATGACTATATTATAAGCAAAACTGTAGAATTCTGAAGTTTTCTACATTTTTCCCCTAGGTATTTGCTTATACTCTTTAGAGAAAAATGCTGTTCTTTACCATGTTGACATTTTCTTAATGTTTTATGTATTTATTTTATTTTTTCTGAGAGAGAGAGAGTGTGTGAGTGAGTGAGAACATGCACAAATGCTTGTGCACACTGGGCAGGGGCAAAGAGAGAGTGGGACAGAGGATCTGAAGCAGGCCTACGCTGACAGCCGAGAGCCTGATGCTGGGCTTGAACTCACAAACGGTGAGATCACAACCTGAGCCCAAAGTTGGATGCTCAACCAACTGAGCCACACAGGCGCCTCACTATATCGACATTTTCTTTTTTTTTTTTTAATGTTTTATTTATTTCTAGGAGAGAGAGAGAGAGACAGCGTGAGCAGGGGAGGGTCAGAGAGAGAGGGAGTCACAGACTCTGAAACAGGCTCCAGGCTCTGAGCTGGCAGTCAGCACAGAGCCCGACGCGGGGCTCGAACCCACGAACCGCAAGATCATGACCTAAGTGAAAGTCGGACGCCTAACCGACTAAGCCACCCAGGCGCCCCTATATCGACATTTTCTGATTCATTAAATGTAGCATCAACAACAACAAAAAAGCAGATTGAGAGATAATATCTGAAAGTCAAAGGACTTAGTAGGCAGGATTGATTTGCAATCAGTAGTAAAGTGCTTGCTTTGGCAGCACATATACTAAAAATTGGAACAATACAGAAAAGAGTAGCATGGCCCCTATGCAATGATGACACAAATTCATGAAGTGTTTCCTATTTTAGAAAAATGTGCAGCTCATTTTACATCTCTTATATGTCAATAAAGCTGTAAAAAATTATTAGCAAAAATGAAGGATCCCCAGTTGTCCTGTTTTAATGATCACCTTTTATCTCTGTCAGTGTTATAGGTTCAAGTTCACTTATTGCCTGTGCTGTATTCCAGAATATACAGAAATCTCCGGAGGTGAGGAGTGTCTTTTTGTGCTTGATTTGAACTTTTAGTGACTCAGACTTTGATGTATATTTGGTTTTTTTGAAAGAGAAAGAGAGACCGAGCATGAGTTGGGGAGGGGGGACAGAGAGAGAGGGAGACACAGAACCTGAGGCAGGCTTCAGGCTCTGAGCTATCAGCACAGAACCCCACGTGGGGCTGGAACTCACAGACCACAAGATCATGACCTGAGCTGAAGTCAGACACTTAACTGACTGAGCCATCCAGGCGCCCTGGGACTTAGCCTTTGAAATAAGACAAATGTCATCCATAAGTAATGGAATAATTCTGTGAATTACTTGTAAATTTGTCATTATTTTACATTGAGATATTTTACTTTATTTTAAGTTTTATTTATTTATTTTAAGAGAGAGGGAGAGAGAGAGCGCCCACTCACACATGCATGCAGGGGAAGGGCAGAGAGAGAGGGAGAGAGAGAATCCCAAGCAGGCTCTGCACTATCAGCATGAAGCCCAACACAGCCCCTGAATTCACAAACTGTGAGATCATGACCTGAGCTGAAATCAGGAGTCAGATGCTCAACCCTAATTAGTCACCCATTGATATTTTAGGCATAGTCAATAGTTTTACCTTTTATTCTAAGTAATTATTTTTAACTATAACAATATGGAGAGATTGCCTACTAAATGTGCATTTTTTTTGTTATGCACTGATTATTAAAGTTAAGGAAACAGAGTGTTGTTTGAATCCTATATTAACTCTAAGCACAGTAGGGTCCTGCCAAGGGGTGAATTGTCTGATATTGATATCTTGGTAAAATTGTTAGTAGGGCTAGGAAATAGTTCAGAGACTGTTGTACAAAGGATACTAGTTTTGCTGTTCAGGCCTTCTAGGCAATTACAATTTAATGGTGAAAACAGAGCAAAAATACATTCAATGTAAAGTTATTTATACTAAAAAGATCAAGTAAAAAATTTTCCTGTACCTCTTCCTGAGGTACAATTGACAAACAAACAAACAAGCAACCTTACTGATTGAGAGAGGACCAGGAAGAGTAATGTATTTCCTAGCTACAAAAATATTTTAAGAGAAATGTAAATACTGTTTCTCTAACAAGGCCAAATGTTAGAAAATTAGACAAAATGTAGTTCAGGCCATAAATGGGAGAGCTTTTGTATGTAGAAATTGTCATTGGGTTTTATTGGCCCACTTTAATAATCAAAATAGTTTTGTATGTTGAACACTTTCTGAGTTCCAAGTATACTGGTTGCTTTACAAACTTTATCTTATTGGCCCTCACCACTTTCCTCTGAGAATGATGGTATTAGCTCCATTTTATAGATGAGGAAATTGAGACTCAAAGTTATAAAATGACTTGTTCATGTTTCACAGTAAGTAGCAGAACAGAGATTTTCAAAAGCCCAACTTTATTTTTAAATGTTTGTTTAGTTTTGAGAGAACATGAGTGGGGAAGGGACAGAGAGAGAGGGGGACAGAGAATTCAAAGTGGGCTGCAAGCCCAATGCAGGGTTTGAACTCACGAACCATGATATCATGACCAGAGCCAAAGTCTAGACAGATCCTAGACAGATGTGCTGTTTTAAGTACATTTTTCATTCAATCCTTAAAACAACTCTGTGAAGTAGATATTATTAATCTGATACTATAGTGAGGAAATGGAATCTTGGTAAGGTGAGGCATTTTTGTAAGGTCTTATAGCCAGGAAGTTGTTAGAGCCTGAATTTGTGTATAGGATGGCCTTGTTCCAAAACCTTTCCCCATATATACTTTTTAAACCACTGAAATATGATACCTAATAAAGATAGAGTTTTGAATTTCAGACGTAGAATGTGACTCTGTAAGTAAAAGTAGAAAATGGAAGTCTTGATACTCTATTGTCATTGCCTGCCAAGTAATCTTAGGCCACACATCTTCCCGTGATTCAGCTTCCCTAATGTTTGTCTCCTTTGCTGAAATATGAATTAATATGTGTTTAAATCAATAATGTATTAGTTACATAGTAGAGAGAGCTAAGCAGAGATTCTCAGTCTCTGCATTATTGATTTCTTGGGCTGGATGATTATTTGTTGTGGGAGGTTGTTCTACACATTAGGATGTTTAGCAAACTTACCCACTGGCTAGAAGCTAATCATCTCCTCCGACCTCTGGGGTTGTAAATACCAAAATATCTTTAAATGTTGCCAGATGTGTTCTGGAGGAGGCAAAATCGCTTCTGGCTGAGAACCACTGCTCTAAGGTGACCTCTCGCATGATAGTGGGTTAGAGCTTTATAAAGATATGACATGTAGTTTGGCCTAGGATGTGACCTTTAGTTTCTCTGGCTTTAGTTCGCATACTTTTCACACTACCTGAGCCTAAAGGACTTTAGCAATAGTCACTAGTTCACTGATTCCTGCACGTTCTGTTTTCTGGTGTAGGAAAAATTACAATTTTTCCAGGTTAAGAATGTCAGCCATTTTCCACTGTATTCCTTTATCCTTTACCAAAGAACATTTTTAACAGCATAAAATGGAAGGCTAATATGAAAACACATACATGGAAGGTTAATATGAAAAAGACAAAAATAGTCTATTAAATTAAAAATAAATATAGTAAACTGGAGAAATCCATGGGGAATCTTTGAGGGAACTAGCTGATGAAACAGTGACTCAGAGAGGCAACCTGAAGAGAGAAGAAAGTGGCCCAGGCCAGCCTATGTTAGAAGAACACTCAAGGGGCTCCTGGGTGGCTCAGTTGGTTAAGTGTCCGCACAGGCCCAGTGAGGAGCCCCGTGCAGGGCTCAAATTCACTAACCATGAGATCATGACCCAAGCCAAAATCTAGAGTCAGATGCTTGACTGACTGAGCCATCCAGATACCCCTAAGGATCACTTTTGATATTCTATTGTAACCTGATTTCACTTGAATAGAAGTACTGGGGTGCACCTGGATGGCTCAGTCCATTAAGCGGCCAACTTTGGCTCAGGTCATGATCTTGCGGTTTGTGAGTTTGATCCCTGTGTCAGACTCTGGGCTGACAGCTCGGAGCCTGGAGCCTGCTTTGGATTCTGTGTCTCCCTCTCTCTCTGCCCTATGCTCACACTCTGTCTCTCAAAAAAAATAAATGTTAGGGGTGCCTGGGTGGCTTAGTCAGTTAAACGTCCAACTTTCGCTTAGGTCACGATCTCGTGGTTCGTGGGTTCGAGCCCCGCGTCGGGCTCTGTGCTGACTGCCAGCTCAGAGCCTGGAGCCTGTTTCCGTCTGTGACTCCCTCTCTCTCTGACCCTCCCCTGCTCACACTGTCTCTCTCTCTCTCCTAGAAATAAATAAAACATTAAAAAAATAAATAAATAAATGTTAAACAAAATTAAAAATTAAAAAAAATTGGGAGGCAGTTTTGGAAGACTGTTAATAAGAACTGTTTTAAGTCTTTGATATCTCCAGGGGAAGACTTTCACACAGAGCATTTCCTCCCCTCTCTACCTCTTATCCTGCTTTTGACTTACATTAGGTTCAAATTAGGCATTTTTTTTTTAAAGAGTTTTTGCTTTCATATTTAGGACTATGTCATATGCTTTTTTGTGTCTTCTGTATTACCATACATTGTGCTGATTGTACCTTTCCTTAAACCAAGGGCTATACTGTACTTTTCTTTGTATTACCTCTGACATGGTATCTTGTAAACACAGGTAGGGTGAAATTTTTCTTGATTTCAACAATAGGTACTCAGTTAATTTTTGTTGTTTAAGACTGATTTTATCTCCTGTTACTAGAACTCATGGTTTTCCAATCATGAGTGAAAGTACACAAACCTCTTTTTATCCATTTCCCTAACAAAGACTTGAGGTATGCTTTAATGGCAAATAGTTCTCTCTATATAAGGCTATTTATTGTATCAATGACCATAAATAAAATTACATTCTTGCTCACAAAAGCCTCTTGGCTGCTTTTCTCCTTCAGTGTTTATTTTGTGTTCAGTTTTAATTTTTTACCTATTAACAGTTATAAACTTGTGGGAGGTCATGGGCCAGTAGAATCTATGAATGTGCCATCTGGCTGGAATTTTAGCAGGCTTACCCAGAGCAAAGACTATATATGGTTAAAATAATAATCATATCTGATATTTATTAAATATAATTTAAAATGCTATTTCTCTTTTTTTTCTGTTTGTCAAAGCAGCTTGACCATTTATATCTCTTTGCAGCATATTAGCATCTTAGCTTTCCTGTCTTTTGGAAGAGGGTTATGAGAAAAATTCCCTTTTGTGCAGATGAGATTGGTTTTCATATTGGGTAGTATGTGATGATAATTTAAAAAAATTTTAAATTTACTTCCTCTTTTGATATATATCAGATGTAGATTAGAATGCATAAAACATATATGTATTGTTTAAAGAATGATTATAACCATTAAGGAGAAGGATTGGAAATGCCTGTACCCCGAAATAAACCTGTGCTCCTTACCGGTTCTAATTCTTTTCCTCACCTTTGGAGGTAACCACCAGCCATATTTTTGTGATCTTAATTTCTTTTTTATTTATGGTTTTGTCAGTAATATATGTATTTCTAAACAATGGAGTTCAGCTTATTTTTGAACTTCTTATAAGTGGACTAATATTTTATATATATTTTAATATATATTTTGCAGTATGCTGTTTTTTCTCAGTATTATTTGTGAGATTTATCCATGTTATGTATAGTTCTGGTTCATTTCATTTTCACTGGTGTTTAGCATTCTGTATTATGAATATACCACAATTTATGTGTCTGTGTTGCTATAAACAATCTTGTATATGTATTCTGGTATATACATGCAAACATTTCTCTAGTG